GTCATGTGAAAATGTGCTTTAAAATTCCCCTGAGCCGAACCTATCTCCGTTAATATGCGTTTTGAACCTTTCTAAGTCGATCTATGACGAAAAATTTTTTCGATCAGCCAAAAATTTATTTAACTCCGAAATCCGGGCAACAGGCAAGCGTAGTACAATTTATATTGACTAGGGCGGGCAAGGATCATTTGCATACGGCTTCAGTGCTATGATAGCCATGTGAAAATGTGCTTTAGAATTCCCCTGAGGCGAACCTATCTCGGTTAATATGCGTTTTGAACCTTTCTAAGTCGATCTATGACGAAAAATTTTTTTCGATCAGCCAAAAATTTATTTGACTCCGAAATCCGAGCAGCGGGCAAGCGTAGTGTAATTTATATTGAAGGACGGGCAAGCACCATTCTCATACGGCTTCTGTGCTATGAAAGCCACGTGAAAATGTGCTTTAAAATTCCCCTGAGTCGAACCTATCTCCGTTAATATGCGTTTGAACCTTTCTAAGTCGATCTATGACGAAAATTTTTTTTCGATCAGCCAAAAATTTTCTAAGTGTCAAGCTTAGCCTCACTTGACTCCGAAATCCGGGCAACGGCCAAGCGTAGTACAATTTATATTGACTAGGACGGGCAAGGATTCATTTGCATACGGCTTCAGCTGTGCTATGAAACCATGTGAAAATGTGCTTTAAAACTCCCCTGAGTCAAACCTATCTCCGTTAATATGCGTTTTGAACCTTTCTAAGTCGATCTATGACGAAAAATTTTTTTCGATCAGCCAAAAATTTATTTGACTGCGAAATCCGAGCAGCGGGCAAGCGTAGTGTAATTTATATTTAAGGACGGGCAAGCATCATTTGCATACGGCTTCAGTGCTATGAAAGCCACGTGAAAATGTGCTTTAAAATTCCCCTGAGTCGAACCTATCTCCGTTAATATGCGTTTGAACCTATCTCCGTTAATTTTAATATGCGTTTTGAACATTTCTAAGCCTACAATCCTGGTCAAAAATATTGGCGCGCGCACTTGACATTGACTGTGCGAAATTTGACTCCCACATCAATAACAAGCATAGCAACCCCCCTTTCCCCCGTTCAATGTTGTGTGTAGTGTGTTATACGTCCAAGGTGTTACACAACATTGATAAGGGGGATAGGGGGTGTTTGGACATGAAATTTTGCCTAAAATTGGGAAGTATGTATATGGTAGTCAGAAATGAAGTAAAGGTTATGCTATTTCGACTAAGTGCGCCAAGGATTTTTGACCAGGATTGTAGCTTTTATACTAAGAATATAAATGCGATCACGTGACTAAAAATAAACTAATGAAATGGATTTAGTCAAAACAAAGTATAAGCAAAAAATGTAAATCCGTACCCTATAAAATATATTAATGTACAATTATACAGAAAACACAGCAAATACGACAAAATATATGAAACAAGTATGGAGTAAGGTAATCATTGAAAATACTGTCAATGTCTGCTTTAGACAGGCAAAGACAGATAGAGTTAAACATAGGGAAAACGTTCGTTAATGCCATAGGGGTGAACAGTGCCGAGTTTGGAAATGAGACGCATTTCGTGTCTTTTGAGGCTATCATTGCTACCAGAAATGGGACAGAGGGCTCGAATTTCCGTATCTGAAACACTGTCCCTGTGATTGCCTGTGTTAAAATGTCTGGCAACAGGCTGGTTAGCATCATTAGCTAGGTTTAGCAAAGACGACGCGACGTCAACGAGGACGTGAAAATGGCGTAAAAATGGCGTGGGCACATCCATAGATGGGCATATCACGCCATTTTCACGTCCTCGTTGACGTCGCGTCGTCTTTGCTAAACCTCGCTATTACCAATGACTGCACGCCGATTCTCACCAAACCTTGTCCTCAAAGGTCTTCCAGTTTCTGGAGAAAAAGTGTTTCAGATACAGAAATTCGAGCTCTCTGTCCCATCTCTGGTAGCAATGATAGCCGCAAAAGACACGAAATGCGTCTCAATTCCAAACTTGGCACTGTCCATCCCTATGGCATTAATGAACGTTTTCCCTATGTTTAACTCTATCTGTCTTTGCCTGTCTAAAGCAGACATTGACAGTACTTTTAATTCTTACCTTATTCCATACTTGTTTCATATATTTGGTTGTATTTGCTATGTTTTCGGTATAATTGTATATTAATATATTCTGTAATGTGATTTCCATTTTTTGTTTATACTTATTTTGACTAAATCCATCTGATTGGTTTATTTTTTGTCACGTGATGCTATTATATTTTTAGTATAAAAGCTCATGTAGCTTTCCCGACCCCTGCTAGTAACTGCAAACGAAGGGCCTTCGCTCGAAACGTCGAAATTCTCTTTCTGTTCAGGCACTTGCATCTCTACCAACGAAAGCTTCTTCATTTGATTGGCACTACCTACACTGGCAAAGGCTAGTGAGAGATGCATCGTTAACAAAGAGAAATCACAACAATAGGCTAACTAAGTACATGCTATGACGTTATTGTTGGTTATATGACTTATATCATACTTTCTCACGTTGTATAGAGTATTGCAGTTCACCATGGCTAAGTCATTTTTTCTCACCATTTTAGTTTTCCAGTTCACCAAATCAATAGTGTAATTCAGGTTATACGTGGCCATCCATTTTGGGCTGGTACTGTCACCATATATAATACAGTCTTCCTAAGTCCACTTCAAGATAATGTTTGTCATCCGAGACAGGAGCACACCAAGAACTACCACTAGATATCCTTGCATCAGAAGCATTGTGACCGAGTGGTCTATAATTTAGTGTATAATACCAGTGACCACCTAAAATTTGAAAATAAAAAGTTAAAGGTGATCTACAGTCCGATCTGCGCATGTGCACAAATGATCCCACTTTTTATGATACAAACAGTTTAACTATGTTTTGAGTTGTTGAAAAGCCTGATTGTTGTTTCTTGATCATTTATTATACTCTAGAAGCTTGAAAATATAAATAGTTGTCGAATAAAGCTCAATATTTTGGACACAAAAATGTAAACAAAGGCTTTGTTTACATACGGACTGTAGATCACCTTTAAACAATCTAGATTTTGATGAACGATCAGATTAACCCCAATGAGGTTGTTCTTTCATTCTTCCTCTAATTATTTATTTTCTATTTCTTTTTATATTCTTTACTACTTTCTTTTACCTCTGCATTCTATTCGTTTCATCTCATCACACTTACATTGTATGTATGATAACTCACAACAACTTTCGCTGGCCGATGAATTAATTGAAAATTGGGATAAGTATCTCGCTTCATCATTACAGTTTATACTTCCGGAAAATGTTGCATTTTTTCATCCGTTGGAGTGGGTCTACCAACAAGAAAGTACCCGCCATCGTATCCCAGGTGACGACAAACAGTAGACATGGCCATGTAATTTTGTAAACTTTGCGAGCAAACATTCTTGGTCCCACTATCAGTGGTAATTTGTACAACACCTTCGTAAGGCAGAGATGAATATGATAGAGACACATCATGAACTACAAAAACACGAAAAGAACAAAGTTATTGGTTATTTTGACATGTAAGGCTATAATGGATATTATTTCTATACGTGGGTAATATGCACATGACAAGTGCGTGCTAAGTCGGGGTTGAACATTTTTAAACACTATTGGAACCTGTCTTGTACACAGCTCTTAAGACAAGTTGATTGAAACTACAAGTTGTAACCATCAATAGAACCATAGTTATACCCATGCATACCACAAAGTTCTTTGAAAGGTTTCACAGTATCAATACATTGATATTCAAAGTAAAGATAGTTTGACAATCCAGCACATAGATCGCCAGAGAACAAATTGTCATCCACAGTTATATTACACTCATGTAGACCATCACATTGTTTCTTAAGAAGACATGTTACATCAACTTCACAACTCTTTGGTGCAAACAATCCACGGTAAGTTGCAAACTTGACCACCATGTATTGATCTTTAGGACAGTTAGCATTCTTCACTTTATCACCATGACATGTCACTGAACCTTTAGATAGATAGATAGATAGATAGATAGATAGATAGATAGATAGATAGATAGATAGATAGATAGATAGATAGATAGATAGATAGATAGATAGATAGATAGAGACTTTATTTAAAGAGGGTGACACTTAATAGTACGAAGTACTAATGAACTTGTGGCCTTCATAAAATTTACAAAAAATGGGGGAGTATATCTATATATTGTCTATTTACAACATTTATATATATCTATAATTATAAATCAATATTCAGTCGACTTTGAAGTTTACTTAATTAAAGAGATTATATTACATGAGGTATATATGACATTAAATTTATATAAAAGAGAACATTAAAGAGAGCTATATTACAATTATATATTACTTAAATTTGAAATCAGGAAAAGAAGTAAATTGTTTAAATTCACTCTGGTACGCACGGAAGCAATTACATACTAAGTATTTAAAACAGTTAATGGAGCTAGCAAAACGGAAACTTAAAGGCAATTTGTTCCAGAGGCCTATAGCGGTTATAAAAAAAGTTCTTCCTGCTTCTGTAGCTCTATTGTATTTCGGAGTTACTAAACTTAAATCAACACTGCGAGTGTTCCTCGAATGTTGTTGGCTATTTAAATTTAATAGTCTGCTTAAGTACTCCGGAGTAGCATTAATAGTACGCTTGTAGATCATAATACATTTTCTGATATCCGACTCTACGTAAAAAGGTAACCAACCAAGATTATTA